GCTGTGCTGCTCCAATCCAACCCCCCCGCTGTGCTGCTCCAATCCAACACCCCCGCTGTGCTGCTCCAATCCAACCACCACAGTGTGCTGCTCCAAACTGACCCCCCCACACTGTGCTGCTCTAACCGCTCCACATTGGGCCTCATCCACCTATGTCCATATCTCATTACCAGACCCCAACCATCACGATGCCCACTATTTAATCTAGATATTAATTAGTTGTGTAACTCCAGAAGATGCAGACAGCTAGATGAGGAGGAAGACAATTCTACGATTAGTTAGTTGAATTTGTATCAAATCTGAGCACAGTTCCCATTTATAATTATTTTTAATTGTTTATTATTTTTTACACAAGAGAAAATTGAACAGATCCATAACCCTAAAAGTCAAAGTCCAGAGATTTTATCTCCTCCATCCTGCATGCGTCTGACAAGCGTCCCCTCCTCTGTCTCCAGGGACCGACATATAAAGCTGGTCCCGTGGTTCCCCTCCACCTGCCAGATGTGAGGGACTGGAAATAAACTCCCCTTTACTTCTTCAACATCTGCTCAACAAGCCTGCCGCCAATGTGCAATAGTGGGGAAACATCGACCTCTACTGGACCCTGTTGGTCCATACATCATTGGAACTCTTCTGCTTAACCCTTCCCAGCAAATTCCAGAATATATTCACAGTTACAGAGATTGAAACACATACAATGGTATTTACTAAAATCCAAATACGGCAAACCATCTGGCTGCACATGGGACCATCTGGCTGCACATGTTACAATCTGGCTGCATATGGGACCATCCGGCTACATATGGGACCATTCGGACTGCATATGGACCATTCGGACTGCATATGAGACCATCCGGCTGCATATGGGACCATCCGGCTACATATGGGACCATTCGGACTGCATATGGACCATTCGGACTGCATATGAGACCATCCGGCTGCATATGGGACCATCCGGCTACATATGGGACCATTCGGACTGCATATGGGACCATCCGGCTGCATATGAGACCATCCGGCTGCATATGGGACCATCCGGCTACATATGGGACCATTCGGACTGCATATGGGACCATCCGGCTGCATATGGGACCATCCGGCTACATATGGGACCATTCGGACTGCATATGGGACCATCCGGCTGCATATGGGACCATCCGGCTACATATGGGACCATTCGGGTCCATATGGGACTATTCGGACTGCATATATGACTATCCGCCTGCACATGAGACCATCCAGCTGCATATGTGACTATTCGGACTGTATATGGGACCACATCCGGCTGCATATGGGACCATTCAGACTGTATTAACAACATCTGGATTTTGCAATTCAGGCAGTGAACAGGCCTTAGTTTAGTCCAAATTTCACCCGGATGGATTTGGTCCAAATTTCAGCCAGATATAAATAATTAAAACTATTTGCCACTGGCAGCACAAGCAGCAAGTAGTTAAACAATCCTCAGCAGTGCAAGGGTTAATTCAGTGGTGGCTGGACAACGCTTGCTGGACAGACATCACATTAAGAAAGTATATAAACAAATTGTGATGAAAGTAACCTCGTCACTGGCTTTTGGAGTGGCCTATTTGCCAGCCTCCTACCCTGTAATTATGGCCCTGTGACGAACCGAACCTCGTCACGGGTTCTTGGAAGGGCCTGCTGGCCAGCCTCTTGCCTCAAGACTATGGGCCCTGCAATATACCTTGCCCAATGCACTTTAAAAGGCTCTGTTCATGTGAAGTATGTACTTTTATACTCCAGACAGAGAGACCGACCATTAGCCCTAATTCTCTGGAACTGTTTTGGGCATGGGACCATGTGCACGGTGGGTCAAAAATAAAACTTCCAGGAAATTCCTTAACCCATGAACTGATCTGGGTGATTTTTGGATATGTTGGTCACCCAGATCAGGGCTATCAGGGGATGTAACATTTGTGGGGTTTTATAGTTTTATGTATTTTTTAGGGTACTTTGGGGGTGTTTTTAAAAAGTATGTTTTTCTGTGCTTGGAGACAATTGGATTAGATTAGTACAGTTCCTGATTCAACTATCTCCCAGGCAGAGGGGAGGGATTGTATGTTTGTATATGGGAGTGTCATGCATTTAACCATTGTTATTATTGGTCTGTGACTTGGTGCTGCAGTTCCCCACAAGGTCCAGGTGGGAGTGCCCCTTGCATGGGGACTTGCATATAAGGCCAGTGGTGGCTGCCATTAAACAGAATGCTTTACCCCTTCATGAAGTCTTGGCTCATGTTTGGGGGATTGGAGAACTACATACACTCTGGGGATTGTTATATCACAATACTCCCCTGAGGATAATCACTAGTTCTTCTAAGAGCTGTTCCTGCTACGCTCTCTGGACTAGGAGAAGTCTTCCCACTGGAAGCTGGATCCTGGTCTTGGGTTCAGGGTGGGTGGAGGACGGTGAGATCCCAACCAAGCTGCGGTGCGGTGCTTATGGTACTCAAGGATTACTAGGAAACAGCGATTGACGGAGGTACCCGGTCGGGGTGCAAAGCGCTCCGTCACACAAATAAATAAGAATCCCTATGGGGATCAATAAAACCCACATATTACTGTAAGGAATGTTTAAAACCTTCCTAAATCCATCATGCAGGTCGGGGCTACAGGTTTCAAACTAGCAATTGCTGTCCAGTCGCTAGTAAAGCTTCATCGCATGGGGATGGGGCTTGTAAAATAATGGGATAGGGGACAAACGACATCAGGTGGGGGAATTTAACTTAAATAATGGGGGGTGGAGAGATCACGATCCACCACTAGCCCGTGCAAGTGGCCAGCAGGATAGGGCTATTTATCAAAAGGAATTCGAAAGTCCCCCCGGCCCCCACCTATAATCACTGGGTTTCCCCCCAGTGTATTATACTTAGAGACCCCACCCGCTGCTAATTAGAGGTATTATGGGGGAGCCACTTGGTCCCCCCCCAGTGTATTATACATAGAGACCACACCTGCTGCTAATGGGTGGGGTATTATGGGGGGAGCCACTTGGTCCCCCCCATTGTTTTATACCTAGAGACCCCACCCGCTACTAATCGGTGGGGTATTATGGGGGGAGCCACTTGCGCCCCCCACAGTATATTATACTTAGAGACACCACCTGCTGCTAATGGGTGGGGTATTATGGGAGAGCCACTTGGTGCCCCCCCCTTGTATTATACTTAGAGACCCCACCTGCTGCTAATGTGTGGGGTATTATGGGGGGAGCCACTTGGTCCCCCCCAGTATATTATACTTAGAGACTTCACCAGCTGCTAATGGGTGGGGACTGAACAGTGGCAGTGAATTGACTTTAGTAAATAAGAGAATTTCCATTGCACTCGGAATTTGGTCATTTTTACCAGATCTTGTCCGTCCGAGTAAAATTCAGTGTTTAGTGAATGATACGAATAAGCTAAGGGTTTGTGGAAGATGAACGAATGAATTGCGAATGTTAAAACTGCACTGTATTTCCAGTTAAACTATTGCCGAACATCTGCAGTTGCCTTGTCAGTTTCTGTTGGAGTTGAGTTGTTTTTACACAGTGCCTACAATCACCTCAATGTGTTATTAGCTTAAATAGATTTATTATTACTTACAATAAGAAGAAAATCCCAGGTCACCCAAGGTTGAGGGTTACACTGGGAGGAAGCACTTATAAGTGGTCAAAAAAGAACCCTAAACTTTATTCACAATAAGTACAAAAGATAATGGTCCACTAAAAATAATAAACAGTATTAAAACAGGGGTATAAAAGGTAGGTTGTGTCCACCTCTGGACAGGTAGGGAGGAGGGTAATTACAAAGAGAGGTAGAAGGTCTGCATCCTTCAAATAGACTCATCCATACCTCCCCTGTACACTGCGTCCTAAAACGCCAGAGAGGGAACCAGGAGATCGCAATATATAAAGGAGCTATAAATTCCCCATACCTAAAAGTCTCTCACTGTCCCTATGTACCTCGGCACCGCACAGAGCTAATGCCTGCCTGAACCAGTGACCCTGAACCCCAAAACAAAATTCAAACATGCATAGTGCTATCCAAGTGCAAGTAAAAATAAAATTATAATGGAAAATTATAATCAGTAGAATATAGTGCTGTTAAAGGAACATTCCAGACTCCTAAAGCCCTTTAGCTTTCTGAAATGCTTTATGCGGGCTTTTCCATTTAAAAAAAAGAGCAGATTTCAATATAAATTAACACTTTTCAAAATTAACCTTATTACACCCCCCTGGCTGTCAATCAGACAGTCGGTCCTGTCACTTCCTGGTTTGTTTAGCTTCGTGGAGCACCTGCCTTGCAAAGACTTCTCATTGAGCTGCATTGGGAAGTCTGTGATTGGACAGCCACAGACAGTCTGGGCGGGGTTAGAAGGGGAGGGCTTGCAAAGGCTGTACACAAGAGTCCAAATGACAACTTTTAGAACTTAGTGCATAAATCCCTAATTTCCTTCATCAACTCAGAATAGTTTATTTTACTGCAATAAAACAAAAATGGAAATTTCTTTGTGATGGCAACAGTCTCACACGTGACTGTTGTACAGCTCTGAGGTATAGGTTGGTGCTTTACAAGTAGGCAAAATGAGAGCGGCATTCACTCTATTATAATGAGAAATAAATTGGATTTTAGTGCAGCTGTGAGGACCTGCAGGGAATTAAAGAGTAACAAGACAAACATCTGTGGATTTCTGCATTCTGGAGTTCTACACTGGGGCTGTGTGGGAAATCAAATTACATTTTGTTTGGGGCAGAAAAGCTCCCTTAATTTCTTAAACACATCTAATCATTGGAGACAATTATGTTTTTGCTTTAATTCCAGAACATATTGCAAACACTCACTCTTTTTTTAAAGCAACAAATTAATTTTCTCTATCGCCACATCACAGGTCACAAATTGTCCAAAATAGGATTTCTTAGAAAAACACAAGAAGTCTCAAATATCCCATGGAACAATTTGCACTCATCTGATAACTCATTAAAAATTTAATTGTTTCTCAGAAAAAGTTATGTGTTTATTGGACCGAAGAAAAGGCTAAATATTTACTTTGCTCAAGAAAGAAAATCACTATTTTTAATTTGTTCAATGTCGATATAAAAAAATATTACATATTAAAAAAAATGTATATACAGTTACACCCAAAGACCAGCTCAATAGGCAGGAATTACCAATGGTAAAACCAGATTAAAGTTACATAGAGGTGCCAGATTGGGGTCCCCTCCTAGAGCACTGACTCCTCTTCTGTGAGTGTTGTGTATGCCTGTATTGGCTGCGTGGGTATGTTTGCCCATTCCTTCTTACTTTTCCCTGGTGGTCTAGTGGAAAGCCTTCCCTGGTGGTCTAGTGGGAGAGAATTTTTTTGACTGCACCAGCATCCACTGCAGACAACTTTAAGAGTGTCCTCGTGGTCTGGCACTCAGCTAACTGACTGCGTTGCTCTGAGTCATTGACAAGTGGTCTTAAAGTGGTCTGCTCCCGGTCCTGGTGCAGGCCACAATGCTCCCTCAAGCAGGTTTTGAGCTCTCTGTCGGCTCAAGGAAGGACCCCTCACAGCCATAGCAGGACATGTCTGAGTCCGGGCCAAGGTGGTCACTAGGCCGCCTCATGGGTAATTCAGCCCAGGTCAATGGATGTATACTATAGCGGAGGCCTGGTATTTCACAGGTTAACTCCACTAAGATCCCAGTGAGGCTCAGGAACAAGTGATGAAAAATCCCATAAAGTAATAATTCCAGCAAGCAAGGTAATCCACGAATATCCCCATACAGATCCCAATGACTGGACGACACACAGCATCAGGAGCAGAACTGGACTTTTAATCACTTCACCTTCTTTTAAAGCATTCTCCCATGCAAGGGAGGGATTTACAATAATTATTACAGTAACCAATCATACATGAGTTGCCGCCCACACATACCCTCCCCTTAGCCTGACTCATAATCCTATTATGCAGTACGCACATTTCCTAGGTTTCTGGATATACCCCTAAACATAGGGGTACCCCTTTAATTATTATATCCCCTTGTAGCCCTGATCTGGGTGAAGAACATATCCAAAAATCACCCAGATCAAACCAGGGGTTCGGAAGATTTGTGGAAGTAGTAAAAAGACCGACCGCACGGGAAGTAACAGCCGAAATTGGTTCCATGCATTTTGGCCCTGCGGTCGGTCACAGAAAAAGGGAATAAACTGCACGAATGTCTTAGGTTATTGAGA